TGATTCATCATATGCTATCACATTCTGTCTGCCTCCCATCCCATATTTTTTCAACTTGCATGTGTGGTTTGAACGTGTGCAAGAATTTGTGTGTGATGTGTTCTGGAGTTTGGGAATGTGTTTTGTGTTATTTTGTTTGAGCAGGTTTTTTGTGATGATAGATCTTGAGAAGATCTTTCCGACGCAACGAGAATCCCTTCAATCGGAGCAAGAACGCGAAAGCTATGAAGATTCAAAGTTCATGAGCTTGCGTTACAATTGCGGCGGTTACAAAGTGAAGTTGTGGGGTGACTTTATATGGAGTTGGGACCTTTGGGGTTGGGGAAATTCGTCACTCTACTGTAACAGCTGCAAATTGGTTGGGAACAACCAAGCTAGGTTGGCAAGGGTGGCCAACTTGGATGGATTGGTTGGGAAGGGACAAAATGTCAAAGTTGGGGTTCCTATAGGGAGGGAATCTTTGTGCTTATGGGGTTTCCTTGGTTGGGGACTCTCTTGGGACCTTCCCTCTCATCCCTCTCTTCTATCCCAACCTTTCTCTTGCTCCTTCTAAATTCCTTGTGAGATTCTTGAACTTTGATTGAACTCTTGAGATTGAGTTAAGTTCTCCTCCTACAGCTTACCCCCTAATGCGTCGAAAGCCATAGCGTCGCGAATACTTCATCAATCAACATGATTCAAATTGGGAACGGTAGCTGAGATAAAGAGCTACAACATATCCAAGTTTCGCGACATTCCAACGGCTAGGTTTTCGTCGACGTCGTTTCTTGTGAAGACGACTTTTCTGTCCAGAATTTCGGATTTATATTTTGAGTAATTCTAGCTCCTAAGTTCACCTAGACTCCGTCCTTAATCCTAACAAGTGGTATCAGAGCTGTATTAAGGACGTTGAGAGGAGTCTACAGAAGTGTGAAGACCCTTCTAGACCCACCATGGCCTGTGGGTGTGCCTAAGTGGTGTTCTAAAGGTTGGATGTGTCTTCCGCTAAGGGAAACTCTGCCGAAATTTCGTGGACGCCGACACTTGTGAAAATATCGAGGGAGCTGAGTGTGGACAGCAAAGGGGGGCTGAAATTCGTCATTTCTCAAGGAGAAGATGAATGAGAGAGGAGGAGATGCTAATGGAAGAGGAGCTGTAGCTGAGAAGACAAGTGAGCCGCCGCCATCAAAAGTTGAAGCTTTGGATGGCTCCAACTATGAGGAATGGAGCGGACGGATGAGGAGTGCCTTCAAACGCTACAAGCTACTGAAGATTGCTGTTGGGGAAGAGAAGATGCCGGAAGAAGGCGAAGCACGCGAACGGTGGATTGAGAAAAGCGCGGTGCTTTTCGACCTCATCCTTCAAACGGTCAACAAGGAGATGTTCGAGCACATCAAGGATCTTGTGGAAGCGAATGATTCGGGTCCAAGGGCGTGGAAACTACTACGCGATGTGATTCAGCCCAACACTCTTCCGATGGTGATCGTGCTCGAGAAGGAACTTGCTGCAATCTCCATGCGACCAGGGGATGATGTGAAGCTGATCCTTGACAAGATCAAGGACACCTATGCAAGGATGGCAGCAGCGGGCAGCAGCGTTTCTCAGCTGCAGCAGTGCACCAAGATCATCTCGGTGTTGGATAACTCGTGGGACAACCTCATCCCCACCCTCAACTCTCAGCAAGATCAATGGACACCTGAGTGGCTAAGGCAGCAGATTCTGCAGGAGGACTTCCGCAGACGCCATGTGGGAGGTGGTGCTTCCACTAAGACTGCTGAGGGGTATGGAGCTGCAGGGCGCGGCAGAGGAAGAGGGGGTTGGAGAGGCCGAGGCCGTGGGAGGAGCTTTGGCAGAGGTAGTGGCCGAGGTGACTATAATGAGGGCATGGGAGCTCTAGTGGCAAGGGGAGTACCAGAATGGAGGGCACCTGCTGGTACTGCAAGAAGGTCGGGCATCCTTGGTTTAAGTGCTTCAGCAGGCCGGAGGGATGGGCACCTCCAGGCATGAAGCCGCCCAGTGGTGAACGCGCACAAGGTGGCGCTGTGCAAGGCTCAGGTGCACAAGGTGAAGGTGCACAAGGTAATACCTATCCTGGGATGTTTCTCATGGTTGAGGATGTGCATGGGCATGAGGGTGATGTGGGATCTGTGGGAAAGGTTGTGATGCACCCTCTCACGCACTGGGTGATTGATTCGGGTTGCACCAGTCACATGACCCCACGGGCAGATTTGCTTGATGAGGTAAAACCCCCTGGGAAGATCAAGTATGTGGCAGCAGCGTCAGGTGCTTTGCTCCCTGTCATTGGTGTTGGAAATGCCAAGGTTAAGGGAGCTTATGGGGAGCTTGTGGGGCTTGGGAATGTTCTGCTGGTTGAAGGCTTGTCTGCTAACCTTCTCTCTGTGCGACGACTGCAGAAGAGCAAGGCCGAAGTGACCTTTGGACGAACCAGCTGCCGTGCTAAGCTTGGGAAGAAGGTGCTGTGGAGTCTGGAAGAGGAGACCAGCTGCATCAAGGACCTGTGGCAGCTGCCCATCATCCCATGGAATGGGAAGACTCCAACAGCAGCAACGGCAGCAGCGGCAAAGGCAACAGCAGGAGGAGATGCAACTGCACCAACTGATGGGGTCCTGGAAGCAGTCAAGAAAGTGCAGCAGCAGCAGACACATGGTGAGGTGCTTGCTGGTGTGGATGCGAGTGCGGCATGGGCTAAGGCTTCATCAAGGAGTGGAGAGGCCGATTGGGAGACATGGCATGAGAGGCTGTGTCATGTGAACTTCCCTATGCTGCAGAAGTTGGTGAAGGATGGGAGCCTGAAGGGCTTGGAGGTGAAAGGGGAGTGAAGGAGATTGGGAGCTGCCCTACATGCTTGGAGACCAAGTTCTCCAAGTTCCCCTTCAACAGCACTACAGGACCAGCCAAGACCCCACTTGCACTTGTGCACATGGATGTGGTGGGGCCCACAAGAGCCCCTTCCCTCTCAGGCAGCCGCTATTTCTTGACAATTGTGGATGACCACACTCGAGCAGTGTGGGTTTACCCTTTGAACAGCAAGGGGGAGGTGGCAGCGGCTGTCCTTAAGGAGTGGATGCCGAGAGCTCAGAGGGAATGCGGACACAAGGTGAAGGTGATCCGTAGTGACAATGGTGGGGAGTTCATTGGAGCTGATTTTGAGGGGGAGTTGAAGAGGAAGGGGATCCAACATCAACTGACAGTGCCCTACAACCCGCAGCAGAATGGCGTGGCTGAGAGGTTCAACAGGACCCTGCAGGAGGGGGCACGCACTCTCCTTGGGCGTGCAGGGCTGCCTGATCCGTTTTGGGTGTCTGCACTGAGGCAGGTCGCCCTTGTGAAGAACAGGGTGCTGGCTACAGTTGGAGATAAGGAGTGGATCCCATATACCAAGTGGTATGGGAGTGCTCCAGCTGTGAACATGCTGAGGGCATTTGGGTGCATGGTGGTGTTTCATGTGCCTAAGGAGAAAAGGGGGAAGTTGGAGGCTTCTAGAAGATGGGGTGTGCACTTGGGGATTGCAAAGGATCACAAGGGTGGCTGCTATGGGACTTGACCACCCAGAAGTTGACAGTGTCAAGGGATGTGAAGTTTCTTGAGTCCCTGTACTACAAGGAATGGAAGCAGCAGCAACAGAAGCTTCCATCTACACCGCTCATTGTGGAGGCAGATGAGGTGCAGCAGCCTTCAAGACAGGTGGAGGTTGCAGTGTCAGAGGAGGAGATGTCTGGGGTGACTGAGGAAGGGGGAGCAGCTGAAGTGAGCAGCAGCAGCAGCAGGGCAGCAGCAGCAGCATGAGTCTCCACCTCGAGTTCCACACCCGCCTGAGCGACCTAGGAGGGATGTGCGCCCTCCGGTGAGGCTAACCTATGGGGGAAGAGGCAAGCCGAATGTGGTGCAGGCTGGGAGTGTGGTTGAGCAGATTGAGGAAGATGAGATCGCTCACTGCTACTGGGCACCAATCCCTGAGCCCAAGACTCGAGAGGAGGCTTTGAATGGACCAAATGGGGAGAAGTGGAAGGCGAGTGAGGATGAGGAGTTCGGGTCCCTAATTGAGAACGAGACATGGGACCTGTGTGACTTGCCTCCTGGAAAGAAGGCAATCACTTCCAAGATGATCTACAGGCACAAGTATGGACCTGAAGGGGAGCTGATCCGCTACAAGTCTAGGCTTGTGGCACGGGGGTTTCAGCAGACAAAGGGGAAGGACTATGATGAGGTGTTTGCTCCTGTGGGGAAAGGAACAACACTGAGGGTGCTGTTGGCGATAGCTGCACTCCTGGGATGGAAGATTCGGCAGATGGATATTGTGACTGCCTTTCTGAATGGGATCATTATGGAGGAGGTGTACATGAAGCAGCCAGAGGGGCTGGATGATGGGAGCGGCAGGGTCTGCAGGCTGAAGAAGGCCATTTATGGCCTTAAGCAGGCGCCTCGTGCATGGTATCACAAGTTGGAGGAGGCGCTGTTGGCTGGGGGTTTCAAGAAGAGTGAGTGTGACCCCAGCCTGTTCCTGCTGCAGGAGAAGGATGAAATCCTCATGCTCTTGGTGTACGTGGATGATATCCTTCTCTTTTCTGCATCACTGCTTTGCTGGACAGCGCAGAGCAGATGCTAGAGATGCAGTTCAAGTGTTCCAAGATGGGTGAGGTGAAGTACTACTTGGGGATGCATGTGGAGAGAGATGTGGAGAAGGGTGTGCTGAGGTTGCACCAGAGGAAGTACTGTGAGGGGCTGGCTGAGAAGTATGGGCTGCAAGATGGGGGAAAGCCAGCAACACCACTACCTTCAGGGTTTACTGTGGAGCCATGTGCTGATGAGGAGGTAGTGGGTGAGAGTGACAGGAAGCTGTTTCATTCGATGGTTGGGTCGCTGAATTATGCTGCAAATCATACACGGCCTGACATTGCATTTCTACATCACGGTTGGCTAGTGTGGTCTCACGCCCTAGTCATGAGCAGCTGGAAGCGGCCAAGAGGTTGGTCCGCTATGTGAGTGCTACGGCATCAGTGGGATTGGAGTACAGTGGAGTGAGGCAGCGGTTGCAGAGAGGTGCTGCAGATGTGAAGAGTGGTGAGATGCTCTTGAGTTGCTATACTGACGCTAGCTTCAACTCAGTGAAAGCGGATGGCACCAGCATTGGGGGTTATGTGTGCTTGCTAGGAGGTGGTGCTGTGAGCTGGCGCAGCAAGAAGCAGAATGAGGTGGGATTGTCCTCATGTGAGACTGAGTACATGGCCTTACACCATGGGGCCAAGGAAGTAGTGTGGCTAAGGCGTTTGTTGGAGGAGTTGGGAGTTGGTCAGGAGAAGCCGACAGTTGTGTTTTGTGACAATGAGTCCGCTGTGAAGCTCGCCAAGAATGCTTGTCTGCATGGGCTGACAAAACACATAAGGCCTAAGTGGCATTGGGTGAGGAGACTCCTTGATAAGGAGGTGCGGCTGGAGATAGTGAAGACCCATCAGCAGGCAGCAGATATTTTCACCAAGCGTCTGGCGGAGGCGGATCATTGGAAGGGCATGAAGCTTGCTGGGATGAGTGTGCATTGAGTATGCATGCTTGAGATGTTGGTATGGTGGATGATGGTTGGCAGCCAGAGGGGGAGATTGTTGTGTGATGTCATCATATGCTATCACATTCTGTCTGCCTCCCATCCCATATTTTTTCAACTTGCATGTGTGGTTTGAACGTGTGCAAGAATTTGTGTGTGATGTGTTCTGGAGTTTGGGAATGTGTTTTGTGTTATTTTGTTTGAGCAGGTTTTTTGTGATGATAGATCTTGAGAAGATCTTTCCGACGCAACGAGAATCCCTTCAATCGGAGCAAGAACGCGAAAGCTATGAAGATTCAAAGTTCATGAGCTTGCGTTACAATTGCGGCGGTTACAAAGTGAAGTTGTGGGGTGACTTTATATGGAGTTGGGACCTTTGGGGTTGGGGAAATTCGTCACTCTACTGTAACAGCTGCAAATTGGTTGGGAACAACCAAGCTAGGTTGGCAAGGGTGGCCAACTTGGATGGATTGGTTGGGAAGGGACAAATGTCAAAGTTGGGGTTCCTATAGGGAGGGAATCTTTGTGCTTATGGGGTTTCCTTGGTTGGGGACTCTCTTGGGACCTTCCCTCTCATCCCTCTCTTCTATCCCAACCTTTCTCTTGCTCCTTCTAAATTCCTTGTGAGATTCTTGAACTTTGATTGAACTCTTGAGATTGAGTTAAGTTCTCCTCCTACAGCTTACCCCCTAATGCGTCGAAAGCCATAGCGTCGCGAATACTTCATCAATCAACATGATTCAAATTGGGAACGGTAGCTGAGATAAAGAGCTACAACATATCCAAGTTTCGCGACATTCCAACGGCTAGGTTTTCGTCGACGTCGTTTCTTGTGAAGACGACTTTTCTGTCCAGAATTTCGGATTTATATTTTGAGTAATTCTAGCTCCTAAGTTCACCTAGACTCCGTCCTTAATCCTAACATTCCCAACCCCCGATTGGCGTTCGAGTGGTTTGCCACCCCTCAAAAGTGGCGTGCGAGTTGTTTGCCACCTCCCAGAGTGGCGTGCGAGTGTTTTTCCACCCCTCGAAACTGGCGTGCGAGTGGTTTGCCAACCACCTGAAGAGTAGCATGCGAGTGGTTTGCCACCCACCAAAGTAGCGTTCGAGTTGTTTGCCAACCCCACGAGTGGGATGCAAGTGGCTTGCCACCCCCCAGAGTGGCGTGTGAGTGGTTTGCCACCCCCCAAGAGGCGTGCGAATGGTTTGCCACCCCCCAGAGTGGCTTGGGAGTGATTTCCCACCACCCCGAGTGGTGTGCGAGTGGTTTGCCACCCCCTAAGATTGGCGTGCGAGTGGTTTGCCACCCCCCAGAGTGGCATGCGAGTGGTTTGCCACCCGCTGAGAGTGGCGTGTGAGTGATTTGCCACCCCCCGAGGGTGGCATGCTAGGGGTTTTTCCACCGCCCCGATTGGCGTGCGAGTGAATTGCCACCCCCCAGTGTGGCGTGTGAGTTGTTTGCCACCCCTCGAGAGTGGTGCGCGAGTGGTTTGCCACCCCTTGATAGTGGCATGGGAATGGTTTGCCACCCCCAAAGTTGCTTGGGACTGGTTTGCCACCCCCCAGAGTGGCGGCAAGTGGTTTGCCACTCCCAAGAGTGGCATGCGAGTGGTTTGCCAACCCTCGAGAGTGGCTTGAGAGTGGTTTGCCACCCTCCGAGATTGGCGTGCAAATGTTTTGCCACCCCCCCAGAGAGGCTTGGGAGTTGTTTTCCACCCAACCGAGTTGCGTGCAACTCGTTTGCCACCCACCGAAAGTGGCATGCGAGTGGTTTGCTATCCCCCCGAGTGGCGTTCGAGTGGTTTGCCACCCTCCAGGTTTGGCGTGCGAGTGGTTTACCACCCTACAAGAGTGGCGTGCGAATAGTTTGCCACCCCCGAGAGTGGCGTGCGAATGGTTTGCCACCCCGCAGAGTGGCTTGGGAGTGGTTTGCAACCCCCCCGAGTGGTGTGCGAGTGGTTTGCCACCCCCCGAGGGTGGCGTGCGAGTGGTTTTGCACCCCCCTGATTGGCGTGCGAGTGGTTTGCCACCCTCCAAGATTGGCGTGCGAGCGGTTTGCCACCCTCCAAAAGTGGCGTGCGAATAGTTTGCCACCTCCCCATAGTGGCGTGCGAATGGTTTGCCACCCCTCAGAAAGGCTTGGGAGTGGATTGCCACCCCCACGAGTGCCGTGCGACTCCTTTGCCACCTACCGAGAGTGGCGTGCGAGTGCTTTGCCATCCCCCCATGTGGAATTCGAGTGGTTTGCCACCCTCTAAGATTGGCGTCCGAGTGGTTTGCCACCCTCAAAGAGTAGTGTGCGAATAGTTTGCCACCCCGCAGTATGACGTGCGAGTGGTTTGCCATCCCGCAGTGTGACGTGCGAGTGGTTTGCCACCCTCCAAGAGTTGCGTGCGAGAGGTTTGCCACCCCCAAAAGTGGCGTGCGAGAGGTTTGCCACCCCCCAAAGTGGTGTGGGAGTGGTTTGCCACACTGCAAGACTGGCGTGCGAATGGTTTGCCACCCCTCAGAGAGGCTTGGGAGTGGTTTGCCACCCCCGCGAGTGGCGTGCGACTGGTTTGCCAACCACTGAAAGTGGCGTGTGACTGGTTTGCCACCGACTGAAAGTGGCGTGCCAGTGTTTTGCCACCCCCCGAGTTGTGTGCGAGTAGTTTGCCACCCTCCAAGGTTGGCGTGCAAGTTGTTTCCCACCCTCCAAGAGTGGCGTGCGAGTGTTTTGCCACCCCGCAGTGTGATGTGCGAGTTGTTTGCCACCCCGCAGTGTGACGTGCAAGTGGTTTGCCACCCCTCAGAGTGGCTTGGGAGTGGTTTGGCACCCCCTGACAGTGGTGTGCGAGTGGTTTGCCAACCCCCAGAGTGGCTTGGGAGTGGTGTGCCACCCCACCGAGTGGTGTGCGAGTGGTTTGCCACCCCTCAAAAGTGGCGTGCGAGTTGTTTGCCACCTCCAGAGTGGCGTGCGAGTCGTTTTCCACCCCTCGAAAGTGGCGTGCAAGTGGTTTGCCACCCCCCGTAAGAGTAGCGCGGGATTGGTTTGCCACCCACCAAAGTGGCGTGCGAGTTGTTTGCCACCCCCACGAGTGGGGTGCAAGTGGTTTGCCAACCCCTAGAGTGGCGTGTGAGTGGTTTGCCACCCCCCGAGAGTGGCGTGCGATTGGTTTGCCACCCCCTAGAGTGGCTTGGGAGTGGTTTGCCACCTCCCCGAGTGGTGTGCGAGTGGTTTGCCACCCCTCCCGAGAGTGGCGTGCGAGTGGTTTCCCACCCCCATGATTGGCATGCGAGTGGTTTGCCAACCCCCAGAGTGGCATGCGAGTGGTTTGCTCCCCCTTGAGAGTTGCGTGCGAGTGGTTTGCCACCCCCCGAGGGTGGCATGCGAGTGGTTTGCCATCCCCCCGATTGGCGTGCGAGTGGTTTGCCACGCCCTAGAGTGGCGTACAAGTGGTTTGCCACCCCCCGAGAGTGGCGCGCGAGTGGTTTGCCACCCCCTGATAGTGGTTTGCGAATGTTTTGCCACCACCCAGAGTGGCTTGGGAGTGGTTTGCCACCCCCTAGAGCGTTGTGCGAGGGGTTTGCCACTCCCCAGAATGGCATGCGAGTGTTGTGTAAACCCCCGAGAGTGGCGTGGGAGTAGTTTGCCACCCTCCGAGAGTGCCGTGCGAATGGTTTGCCACCCCTCAGAGAGGCTTGGGAGTGGTTTGCCACCCCCCCCAAATGGCGTGCGACTGGTTTGCCACCCACCGAGAGTGGCGTGTGAGTGGTTTGCCATCCCCCAGAGTGGCATTTGAGTGGTTTGCCACCCTCCAAGATTGGCGTGCAAGCTGTTTGCCACCTTGCAATGTGACGTGCGAATGGTTTTTCACCCCCTGAGAGTGGTGTGCGAATGATTTGCCACCTCCAGAATGGCTTGGGAGTGGTTTGCCACCCCTCCGAGTGGCGTGCGATTTGTTTGCCACCCCCCTGAGTGGCGTGCAAGAGGTTTGCCACCCCTCAATGTGGTGTGCGAGTGGTTTGCCACCCCCCGAGAGTGGCATGCGAGTGGTTTGCCACCCCCTGAGAATAGCGTGCGAGTGGTTTGCCACCCCCTGAGAGTGGCGTGCGAGTGGTTTGCCACCCCCAAGAATGGCGTGTACGTTATTTGCCACCCGCCGAAAGTGGCGTCTCAGTGATTTGCCACCCTCCAAGACTGGCGTGCTAGTGGTTTGCCACCCTCCGAGAGTGGCGTGAGAATAGTTTGCCACCCTGCAGTGTGACGTACGAGTGGTTTGTGACCCCGCAGTGTGATGTGCGATTGGTTTTTCACCCCCCCGACTGGTGTGTGATTTGTTCGCCACCCCCGAAGTGGCGTGCGAGTGGTTTGCCACCCCTCCGAGTGGCGTGCGAGAGGTTTGCCACCCCCTAGAGTGGCATGCGAGTGGTTTGCAACCACCCGAGAGTGGCATGCGAGTGGTTTGCCACCCCCTGAGAGTGGCATGCGAGTGGTTTGCCACCTCCCAAGAGTGGCGTGCGAGTGGTTTGCCACCCCCCAGAAGAGTGGCATGCGAGCGGTTTCCCACCCACCAAAGTGGCATGCGAGTTGTTTGCCACCCCCATTAGTGGGGTGCGAGTGGTTTGCCACCCCCCCGAGTGGTGTGCGAGTGGTTTGCCACCCCCGAGAGTGGCGTGCGAGTGGTTTCCCATCCCCCCGATTGGCATGCGAGTGGTTTGCCACCCCCCAGAGTCGCATGCGAGTGGTTTGCCACCCCCTGAGAGTGGCGTGCCAGTGGTTTGCCACCCTCCGAAGGTGGGATGCGAGAGGTTTGCCAGCCCCCAGATTGGCGTGCGAGTGGGTTGCCACCCCCCAGAAGAGTGGCGTGCGAGTGGTTTGCTACCCACCAAAGTGGCGTGCGAGTTGTTTGCCACCGCCTGATAGTGGGATGCGAATGGTTTGCCACCCCCCATAGTGGCTTGGGAGTGGTTTGCCACCCACCTGAGTGGCGTGCGAGTGGTTTTCCACTCCCCAGAGTAGCATGCGAGTGGTTTGCCACCCACCGAGGTTGGCATGCAAGTGGTTTGCCACCCCCCCTATTGGTGTGCGAGTAGTTTGCCACCCCCCTGAGTGGCGTGCGAGTGGTTTGCCACCCTCCGAGAGTGGTGCGTGAGTGGTTTGCCACCACCTGATAGTGGCATGCAAATGGTTTGCCACCCCCAAGAGTTGCTTGGGAGTGGTTTGCCACCCCCCAAAGTGGCGTGCAAGTGGTTTGCCACCCCCCAGAGTGGCAGGGGAGTGGTTTGCCAACCCCCGAGAGTGGCGTGGGAGTGGTTTGCCACACACCGAGAGTGGCGTGCGAAGGGTTTGCCACCCCTCTGAGAGGCTTGCAAGTGGTTTGCCACCCCCCCGAGTGGCGTGCAACTGGTTTGCCACCCCCAGAGTGGCATGCGAGTGGTTTGCCACCCCCTGAGAGTGGCGTGCGAGTGGTTTGCCACCCCCGAGGATGGCATGCAAGTGGTTTGCCACCCCCCTGATTGGCGTGCGAGTGGTTTGCCACCCCCCAGAGTGGAGTGCGATTGGTTTGCCACCCCCCAGAGTGTCGTGCAACTCGTTTGCCACCCACTAAGTGTGGCGTGCGAGTTGTTTGCCCTCCCCCCGAGTGGTGTTCGAGTGGTTTGCCACCCTCCAAGATTGGCGTGCGAGTGGTTTGCCACCCTCCAAGAGTGGCATGGGAATAGTTTGCCACCCCCAGTGTGACGTGCGAGTGGTTTGCCACCCCGCAGTGTGACGTGCGAGTGGTTTTTCACCCCCCGAGAGTAGCGTGCGAATGGTTTGCCACCCTCCAGAGTGGCTCAGGAGTGGTTTGCCACCCCCTCGAGTGGCGTGCGATTTGTTTTCCACCCCTGAAGTGGCATGCGAGTGGTTTGCTACCCCCCCGAGTGGCGTGTGAGAGGTTTGCCACCCCTCCAGAGTGGCGTGCGAGTAGTTTGCCACCCCCGAGAGTGGCATGCGAGTGGTTTTCCACCCCCAAAGAGTGGCGTGCGAGTTGTTAGCCACCCCCCAGAAGAGTGGCGTGCGAGTGGTTTGCCACCCACCAAAGTGGCGTGCGAGTTGTTTGCCACCCCCACGAGTGGGGTGCGAGTGGTTTGCCACTCCTCAGAGTGGCGTGTGAGTGGTTTGCCACCCCTCAAGAGTGGCGTGCGAATGGTTTGCCACCACGAGACTGGCTTGGGAGTGGTTTGCCACCCCCTCGAGTGGTGTGCGAGTGGTTTGTGTTGTGTGATGTCATCATATGCTATCACATTCTGTCTGCCTCCCATCCCTTGTTTCAATTCGCATGTATGGTTTGACTGTGTGTGAAAGAATTTGTGTGGTGTGTTCTGGAGTTTGGGAATGTGTTTTGTGTTATTCTGTCTGAGCAGGTATTTGTGATGATAGATCTTGAGAAGATCTTTCCGACGCAACAAGAATCGATTCAATCGGAGCAAGAACGCGAAAGCTATGAAGATTCAAAGTTCATGAGCTTGCGTTACAATTGCGGCGGTTACAAAGTGAAGTTGTGGGGTGACTTTATATGGAGTTGGGACCTTTGGGGGTTGGGGAAATTTGTCACTCTACTGTAACAGCTGCAAATTGGTTGGGAACAACCAAGCTAGGTTGGCAAGGGTGGCCAACTTGGATGGATTGGTTGGGAAGGGACAAATGTCAAAATTGGGGTTCCTATAGGGAGGGAATCTTTGTGCTTATGGGGTTTCCTTGGTTGGGGACTCTCTTGGGACCTTCCCTCTCATCCCTCTCTTTCTATCCCAACCTTTCTCTTGCTCCTCTAATTTTTCCTTGAGAGATTCTTGAACTTTGATTGAACTCTTGAGATTGAGTTAAGTTCTCCTCCTACAGCTTACCCCCTAGTGCGTCGAAAGCCATAGCGTCGCGAATACTTCATCAATCAACATGATTCAATTTGGGAACGGTAGCTGAGCTTACGATCTACAACATATCCGAGTTTCGCGACATTCCAACGGCTAGTTTTTTGTCGACGTCGTTTCTTGTGAAGACGACTTTTCTGTCCAGAATTTCGGATTTATATTTTGAGTAATTCTAGCTCCTAAGTTCACCTAGACTTCGTCCTTAATCCTAACAAGTGGTATCAGAGCCATATTGAGGACATTGAGAGGAGTCTACAGAAGTGTGAAGACCCTTCTAGACCCACCATGGCCTGTGGGCGTGCCTAAGTGGTGTTCTAAAGGTTGGATGTGACTTCCGCTAAGGGGAAACTCTGCCGAAATTTCGTGGACGCCGACACTTGTGAAAATATCGAGGGAGCTGAGTCTGGACAGCAAAGGGGGAGCTGAAATTCGTCATTTCTCAAGGAGAAGATGAATGAGAGAGGAGGAGATGCTAATGGAAGAGGAGCTGTACCTGAGAAGACAAGTGAGCCGCCACCATCAAAAGTTGAAGCTTTGGATGGCTCCAACTATGAGGAATGGAGCGGGCGCATGAGGAGTGCCTTCAAACGCTACAAGCTACTGAAGATTGCTGTTGGGGAGGAGAAGATGCCGGAAGAAGGCGAAGAACGCGAACGGTGGATTGAGAAAAGCACGGTGCTTTTCGACCTCATCCTTCAATCGGTCAACAAGGAGATGTTCGAGCACATCAAGGATCTTGTGGAAGCGGATGATTCGGGTCCAAGGGCGTGGAAACTACTACGCGATGTGATTCAGCCCAACACTCTTCCGATGGTGATCGTGCTCGAGAAGGAACTTGCTGCAATCTCCATGCGACCAGGGGATGATGTGAAGCTGATCCTTGACAAGATCAAGGACACCTATGCAAGGATGGCAGCAGCGGGCAGCAGCGTTTCTCAGCTGCAGCAGTGCACCAAGATCATCTCGGTGTTGGATAACTCGTGGGACAACCTCATCCCCACCCTCAACTCTCAGCAAGATCAATGGACACCTGAGTGGCTAAGGCAGCAGATTCTGCAGGAGGACTTCCGCAGACGCCATGTGGGAGGCGGTGCTGCCACTAAGACTGCTGAGGGGTATGGAGCTGCAGGGCGCGGCAGAGGAAGAGGGGGTTGGAGAGGCCGAGGCCGTGGGAGGAGCTTTGGCAGAGGTAGAGGCCGAGGTGACTATAATGAGGGGCATGGGAGCTCTAGTGGCAGGGGAGTACCAGAATGGAGGGCACCTGCTGGTACTGCAAGAAGGTCGGGCATCCTTGGTTCAAGTGCTTCAGCAGGCCGGAGGGATGGGCACCTCCAGGCATGAAGCCGCCCAGTGGTGAACGCGCACAAGGTGGCGCTGTGCAAGGCTCAGGTGCACAAGGTGAAGGTGCACAAGGTAATGCCTATCCTGGGATGTTTCTCATGGTTGAGGATGTGCATGGGCATGAGGGTGATGTGGGATCTGTGGGAAAGGTTGTGATGCACCCTCTCACGCACTGGGTGATTGATTCGGGTTGCACCAGTCACATGACCCCACGGGCAGATTTGCTTGATGAGGTAAAACCCCCTGGGAAGATCAAGTATGTGGCAGCAGCGTCAGGTGCTTTGCTCCCTGTCATTGGTGTTGGAAATGCCAAGGTTAAGGGAGCTAATGGGGAGCTTGTGGGGCTTGGGAATGTTCTGCTGGTTGAAGGCTTGTCTGCTAACCTTCTCTCTGTGCGACGACTGCAGAAGAGCAAGGCCGAAGTGACCTTTGGACGAACCAGCTGCCGTGCTAAGCTTGGGAAGAAGGTGCTGTGGAGTCTGGAAGAGGAGACCAGCTGCATCAAGGACCTGTGGCAGCTGCCCATCATCCCATGGAATGGGAAGACTCCAACAGCAGCAACGGCAGCAGCGGCAAAGGCAACAGCAGGAGGAGATGCAACTGCACCAACTGATGGGGTCCTGGAAGCAGTCAAGAAAGTGCAGCAGCAGCAGACACATGGTGAGGTGCTTGCTGGTGTGGATGCGAGTGCGGCATGGGCTAAGGCTTCATCAAGGAGTGGAGAGGCCGATTGGGAGACATGGCATGAGAGGCTGTGTCATGTGAACTTCCCTATGCTGCAGAAGTTGGTGAAGGATGGGAGCCTGAAGGGCTTGGAGGTGAAAGGGGGAGTGAAGGAGATTGGGAGCTGCCCTACATGCTTGGAGACCAAGTTCTCCAAGTTCCCCTTCAACAGCACTACAGGACCAGCCAAGACCCCACTTGCACTTGTGCACATGGATGTGGTGGGGCCCACAAGAGCCCCTTCCCTCTCAGGCAGCCGCTATTTCTTGACAATTGTGGATGACCACACTCGGGCAGTGTGGGTTTACCCTTTGAAGAGCAAGGGGGAGGTGGCAGCGGCTGTCCTTAAGGAGTGGATGCCTAGAGCTCAGAGGGAATGCGGACACAAGGTGAAGGTGATCCGCAGTGACAATGGTGGGGAGTTCATTGGAGCTGATTTTGAGGGGGAGTTGAAGAGGAAGGGGATCCAACATCAACTGACAGTGCCCTACAACCCGCAGCAGAATGGCGTGGCTGAGAGGTTCAACAGGACCCTGCAGGAGGGGGCACGCACTCTCCTTGGGCGTGCAGGGCTGCCTGATCCGTTTTGGGTGTCTGCACTGAGGCAGGTCGCCCTTGTGAAGAACAGGGTGCTGGCTACAGTTGGAGATAAGGAGTGGATCCCATATACCAAGTGGTATGGGAGTGCTCCAGCTGTGAACATGCTGAGGGCATTTGGGTGCATGGTGGTGTTTCATGTGCCTAAGGAGAAAAGGGGGAAGTTGGAGGCTTCTAGAAGATGGGGTGTGCACTTGGGGATTGCAAAGGATCACAAGGGGTGGCTGCTATGGGACTTGACCACCCAGAAGTTGACAGTGTCAAGGGATGTGAAGTTTCTTGAGTCCCTGTACTACAAGGAATGGAAGCAGCAGCAACAGAAGCTTCCATCTACACCGCTCATTGTGGAGGCAGATGAGGTGCAGCAGCCTTCAAGACAGGTGGAGGTTGCAGTGTCAGAGGAGGAGATGTCTGGGGTGACTGAGGAAGGGGGAGCAGCTGAAGTGGAGCAGCAGCAGCAGCAGGAGCAGCAGCAGCAGCATGAGTCTCCACCTCGAGTTCCACACCCGCCTGAGCGACCTAGGAGGGATGTGCGCCCTCCGGTGAGGCTAACCTATGGGGGAAGAGGCAAGCCGAATGTGGTGCAGGCTGGGAGTGTGGTTGAGCAGATTGAGGAAGATGAGATCGCTCACTGCTACTGGGCACCAATCCCTGAGCCCAAGACTCGAGAGGAGGCTTTGAATGGACCAAATGGGGAGAAGTGGAAGGCGAGTGAGGATGAGGAGTTCGGGTCCCTAATTGAGAACGAGACATGGGACCTGTGTGACTTGCCTCCTGGAAAGAAGGCAATCACTTCCAAGATGATCTACAGGCACAAGTATGGACCTGAAGGGGAGCTGATCCGCTACAAGTCTAGGCTTGTGGCACGGGGGTTTCAGCAGACAAAGGGGAAGGACTATGATGAGGTGTTTGCTCCTGTGGGGAAAGGAACAACACTGAGGGTGCTGTTGGCGATAGCTGCACTCCTGGGATGGAAGATTCGGCAGATGGATATTGTGACTGCCTTTCTGAATGGGATCATTATGGAGGAGGTGTACATGAAGCAGCCAGAGGGGCTGGATGACGGGAGCGGCAGGGTCTGCGGCTGAAGAAGGCCATCTATGGCCTTAAGCAGGCGCCTCGTGCATGGTATCACAAGTTGGAGGAGGCGCTGTTGGCTGGGGGTTTCAAGAAGAGTGAGTGTGACCCCAGCCTGTTCCTGCTGCAGGAGAAGGATGAAATCCTCATGCTCTTGGTGTATGTGGATGATATCCTTCTCTTTTCTGCATCCACTGCTTTGCTGGACAGCGCAGAGCAGATGCTGGAGATGCAGTTCAAGTGCTCCAAGATGGGTGAGGTGAAGTACTACTTGGGGATGCACGTGGAGAGAGATGTGGAAAAGGGTGTGCTGAGGTTGCACCAGAGGAAGTACTGTGAGGGGCTGGCTGAGAAGTATGGGCTGCAAGATGGGGGAAAGCCAGCAACACCACTACCTTCAGGGTTTACTGTGGAGCCATGTGCTGATGAGGAGGTAGTGGGTGAGAGTGACAGGAAGCTGTTTCATTCGATGGTTGGGTCGCTGAATTATGCTGCAAATCATACACGGCCTGACATTGCATTTTCTACATCACGGTTGGCTAGTGTGGTCTCACGCCCTAGTCATGAGCAGCTGGAAGCGGCCAAGAGGTTGGTCCGCTATGTGAGTGCTACGGCATCAGTGGGATTGGAGTACAGTGGAGTGAGGCAGCGGTTGCAGAGAGGTGCTGCAGATGTGAAGAGTGGAGAGATGCTCTTGAGTTGCTATACTGACGCTAGCTTCAACTCAGTGAAAGCGGATGGCACCAGCATTGTGGGTTATGTGTGCTTGCTAGGAGGTGGTGCTGTGAGCTGGCGCAGCAAGAAGCAGAATGAGGTGGGATTGTCCTCATGTGAGACTGAGTACATGGCCTTACACCATGGGGCCAAGGAAGTAGTGTGGCTAAGGCGTTTGTTGGAGGAGTTGGGAGTTGGTCAGGAGAAGCCGACAGTTGTGTTTTGTGACAATGAGTCCGCTGTGAAGCTCGCCAAGAATGCTTGTCTGCATGGGCTGACAAAACACATAAGGCCTAAGTGGCATTGGGTGAGGAGACTCCTTGATAAGGAGGTGCGGCTGGAGATAGTGAAGACCCATCAGCAGGCAGCAGATATTTTCACCAAGCGTCTGGCGGAGGCGGATCATTGGAAGGGCATGAAGCTTGCTGGGATGAGTGTGCATTGAGTATGCATGCTTGAGATGTTGGTATGGTGGATGATGGTTGGCAGCCAGAGGGGGAGATTGTTGTGTGATGTTATCATATGCTATCACATTCTGTCTTCCTCCCATCCCTTGTTTCAATTCGCATGTATGGTTTGACTGTGTGTGAAAGAATTTGTGTGGTGTGTTCTGGAGTTTGGGAATGTGTTTTGTGTTATTCTGTTTGAGCAGGTATTTGCGATGATAGATCTTGAGAAGATCTTTCTGAGGCAACAAGAATCGCTTCAATCGGAGCAAGAACGCGAAAGCTATGAAGATTCAAAGTTCATGAGCTTGCGTTACAATTGCGGCGGTTACAAAGTGAAGTTGTGGGGTGACTTTATATGGAGTTGGGACCTTTGGGGGTTGGGGAAATTTGTCACTCTACTGTAACAGCTGCAAATTGGTTGGGAACAACCGAGCTAGGTTGGCAAGGGTGGCCAACTTGGATGGATTGGTTGGGAAGGGACAAATGTCAAAATTGGGGTTCCTATAGGGAGGGAATCTTTGTGCTTATGGGGTTTCCTTGGTTGGGGACTCTCTTGGGACCTTCCCTCTCGTCCCTCTCTTTCTATCCCAACCTTTCTCTTGCTCCTCTAATTTTTCCTTGTGAGATTCTTGAACTTTGATTGAACTCTTGAGATTGAGTTAAGTTCTCCTCCTACAGCTTACCCCCTAGTGCGTCGAAAGCCATAGCGTCGCGAATACTTCATCAATCAACATGATTCAAATTGGGAACGGTAGCTGAGATTAAGATCTACAACATATCCGAGTTTCGCGACATTCCAACGGCTAGTTGTTTGTCGACGTCGTTTCTTGTGAAGACGACTTTTCTGTCCAGAATTTCGGATTTATATTTTGAGTAATTCTAGCTCCTAAGTTCACCTAGACTTCGTCCTTAATCCTAACAGTTTGCCACTCCATGTGAGTGGCGTGCGAGTGGTTTCCCACCCCCCTGACTGGCGTGCGAGTGGTTTGCCACCCCCCAGAGTGGCATGCGATTGGTTTGCCACCCCGTGAGAGTGGCGTGCGAGTGGTTTGCCACCCACCGAGGTTGGCATGCAAGTGGTTTGCCACCGCCCCCTATTGGCGTGCGAGTGGTTTGCCACCCCCCTGAGTGGCGTGCGAGTGGTTTGCCACCCTCCGAGAGTGGTGCGTGAGTGGTTTGCCACCCCCTGATAGTGGCATGCAAATGGTTTGCCACCCCCAAGAGTTGCTTGGGAGTGGTTTGCCACCTCCCAAAGTGGCGTGCGAGTGGTTTGCCACCCCCCAGAGTGGCGTGCGAGTGGTTTGCCAACCCCCGAGAGTGGCGTGGGAGTGGTTTGCCACCCTCCGAGAGTGGCGTGCGAATGGTTTGCCACCCCTCTGAGAGGCTTGCAAGTGGTTTGCCACCCCCCGAGTGGCGTGCAACTGGTTTGCCACCCCCGAGAGTGGCGTGGGAGTGGTTTGCCACCCTCCGAGAGTGGCGTGCGAATGGTTTGCCACCCCTCTGAGAGGCTTGCAAGTGGTTTGCCACCCCCCGAGTGGCGTGCAACTGGTTTGCCACCCCCGAGAGTGGCGTGGGAGTGGTTTGCCACCCTCCGAGAGTGGCGTGCGAAGGGTTTGCCACCCCTCTGAGAGGCTTGCAAGTGGTTTGCCACCCCCCGGAGTGGCGTGCAACTGGTTTGCCACCCCCCGAGTGGCATGCGAGTGGTTTGCCACCCCCTGAGAGTGGCGTGCGAGTGGTTTGCCACCCCCCGAGGCTGGCATGCAAGTGGTTTGCCACCCCCCCGATTGGCGTGCGAGTGGTTTGCCACCCCCCAGAGTTGAGTGCGATTGGTTTGCCACCCCCTGATAGTGGCATGCGAATGGTTTGCCACCCCCAAGTGTGGCTTGGAAGTGGTTTGCCACCCCCCAGAGTTGCGTGCGAGTGGTTTGCCACCCCCCAGAGTGGCGTGCGAGTGGTTTGCCAACCCCCGAGAGTGGCGTGGGAGTGGTTTGCCACCCTCCGAGAGTGGCGTGCGAATGGTTTGCCACCCCTCAGAGAGGCTTGAGAGTGGTTTGCCACCCCCCCGAGTGGCGTGCGACTGGTTTGCCACCCTCCAGAGTTGCATGCGTGTGGTTTGCCAACCCTTGAGAGTGGCGTGCGAGTGGTTTGCCACCCCCCGAGAGAGGCATGCAAGTGGTTTGCCACCCCCCGATTGGCGTGCTAGTGGTTTGCCACCCACCAGAGTGGAGTGCGAGTGGTTTGCTACCCCTTGAGTGTGGCGTGCGAGTGGTTTGCCACCCCCTGAGAGTGGCGTGTGAGTGGTTTGCCACCCCCCGAGAGTGGCGTGCGAATGGTTTGCCACCCCCCAGAGTTGCTTGGGAGTGGTTTGCCACCCCACCGGGTGGCGTGCGAGTGGTTTGCCACCCCTCAAAAGTGGCGTGCGAGTTGTTTGCCACCTCCCAGAGTGGCGTGCGAGTGGTTTTCCACCCCTCGAAAGTGGCGTGCGAGTGGTTTGCCACCCCGCAGAAGAGCGGCGTGCGAGTGGTTTACCACCCACCAAAGTGGCGTGCGAGTTGTTTGCCACCCCCACGAGTGGGGTGCGAGTGGTTTGCCACCCCCCAGAGTGGCGTGATAGTGTTTTGCCACCCCTTGAGAGTGGCGTGTGAATGGTTTGCCACGCCCTCAGGTCCTACAATTCGATAGCCATGCTCACGAGTCAAACGCTGTTTTGAGAACCCAAGATTATGGGACTTAGGAGCTTTTCTTTTTTAAAATAGAATTCAGGTCTCAGCATGGTAAGGCTTTGGTCTAGCATGGGTGAAGTGCAAAACTTCTAGAAGTAATATCTCCTTGCCCACTTTGAATCAGGTCCTACATTTCGATGGGCTTGCTCACGAGTCGAAGGCCCTTCTAGGAACCCAGGAATATGGGGCATAGGAGCTTTTTTTTACGATATAGAATCCAGGTCTCAGCATGCCTAGGCTTTGGTCGAGTACAGGTCAAGTGCAAAACTTCTCAAAGTAATATCTTCTTGCCCACTTGGAAACTGGTCCTACAATTCGATGGTCATGCTCACGAGTCGAAGGCCCTTTTGGAAACCCAAGAATATGGGGCATAGGAGCTTTTGTTCATGATATAGAATCCAGGTCTCAGCATGGTTAGGCTTTGGTATAGTATGGGTCAAGTGCACAACTTCTCAAAGTAATATCTCCTTGCCCACTTGGAACCTGATCCTACAATTTGATGGTCATGCTCATGAGTCGAAGGCCCTTTTGGAAACCCAAGAATATAGGGCAGAGGATATTTTTTTTTTGATATAGAATCCAGGTCCAAGCATGGTTAGGCTTTGATTTAGTACGGGTCAAGTGCAAAACTTCTAAAAGTAATACCTCTTTGCCGACTTGGAATAAGGTCCTACAATTCGATAGTCATGCTCACGAGTCGAACACCGTTTTGAAAACCCACGAATTATGGAACTTAGGAGCTTTTGTTTATTATATAGAATCGAGGTTTCAGCATGGTTAGGCTTTGGTCTAGTATTGGTCAAGTGCAAACCTTCCAAATGAAATATCTCCTTGCCCACTTTGAAACAAGGCCTACAATTTGATAGGCATGCAGGGATGATTCAGCAAGATAGTGAGAATTGAGCAAGGTAAGGGTAATTAAGCAAGGTAGGGGGGATTATGTAAGATAGGGAGAATTCAGCAAGGTAGGGTTAATTCAACAAGGAAGGGGGGACTCAAAAAGGTAGGGTTGATTCAGCAGGGTAGGGTTGATTAATAAAGGTAGGGGTGATTGAGAAAGGTAGGGGTGATTGAGCAAGAAAGGGGAAAGACAACAAGGTTGGGTTGATTAATCAAGGAAGGGGTGATTCAGCAAGAAAGAGGGGATTCACCAAGATAGAGAGAACTCAGCAAGGAAGGGGAGATTCAGCAAGATATCGGGAATTCTGCAATTTTTGGGTGATTAAGCAATACAGCGGTGATTATTCAAAGTAGGGATCATTAAGCAAGGTAGGA